CTCATTAAATGAGGGACTTGGGTATAGATGATTTTTGCTAGGTAATACATATGTTTACTTATGGAAATTGGTCTAGGCCTGGCCCAGGATGATGTGGTAGACTTTGGGGAGCCTCTTTTGAGGGCCTTACCCTGCCTGGGGAGTGGAGGGGGCATGGCTAGGGGCAGGTGGGATGTTGGGGGAGAGGGGCAGGAGAGGGAGAAGGGATTGACATCTGGAGCAAGCTTGTTCCTAATTTGAACTAATAAAATAAAAATAATAATAAAAAATTCCTCCAAAAATACATATGTTTACTTAAGTTTCTTTTAAGTGTCCTGATTCCTGATGATAGCTCTCAAGAATAAGATATTGAGACATAAAGTGTCTTGGCTTTTTGTCATGTGATCTCTAGAAAAATGTAATAAAATGTTAGTGTGTTATTAAATCAGTAAATTCTGGGATTACTGAATATGATTTAATATTAATTTTTCTTAATTTAGATAGATAATACATGATAGATAAATAACAGATAATAGATGATAAATAATTGATAGGTAGATGTATGATAGATAAATTGATAGATATAGATAGATGATAGATAAATGTTAGATATACAGATGATAGATAAATGATAGATAGATGATAGGTAGATGATAGATAACTGGTAGAAAGAGGATAGATAAATGATAGATAGATAGATAGATAGATGGATAGATAGATAGATAGATAGATGATAGGTAGATGGCAGATAGATGTTACTTGGGAGTCTCTTTAAGGAGAAGGACCTGGGAGGAATATATTTTCCAATCACATGAGCAAAATAAAGTTCCTTAGCCATGTTTCAAGATCTCAATCAGAGCACTGAGAGATAAGGATTTTTCCATTTACGCTTGGTCCTGAGCCTAAAGATGCCTTAATGTCAAGTCACTACTTATAGGTAACTAACCATGCCACTGAGTTTTGCTGAGATTCATTTGCAGACATGCTTTCTCCTGAGACTCTGTGCTTGAGATTATGAAGAAGTGTGACTGACAGTTCTTAGGGCATTTTCACTATCTGTGACAGGTCTGTTTTGGTCAAAGACCTGGCCCTTTACTCTGAATTCATGCTGGGCGGAAAGAAATATGGTGTAAGGAAAGCCGATGAATTGAATGAAGTGACTATTTAAAGGTTGGCATTTGGTATCTTCATATCTTTTTGAGATTTCTAAACTTGTTAACAGTAGATTGTAGCACAAAATATCATCGTCTGTATTGGCCTCACACTCAGCATGGCGATGTTGTGTGATTCTGAGAGGATCCCCAAAGATCGTTGGCAAACACACAGGTCAATAAGGCTGACTATATTACTTGAAATGTAGTGTCTTATAGTCACTTAGAGGTAAAAAGCAGAGAAAGTATTCATTTCCCTGTTGTAATTGCTCCATGATACTCAAGAACTGAGTGGCAGGCTGTTTCACTTAGTGCTTCTTCCCTCTCTTATGATATCACTCATCCTTCCATATAGTAGTTACTCATTTCTGCATTTCCTCATAGGCATGCTTCAGGTTTGCAAATTCTCTCCCTTCCCTTCCCTTCCCTTCCCTTCCCTTCCCTTCCCTTCCCTTCCCTTCCCTTCCCTTCCCTTCCCTTCCCTTCCCTTCCCTTCCCTTCCCTTCCCTTCCCTTCCCTTCCCTTCCCTTCCTCTTCTACTCTCTTTATTCATCTCCTCTCTATCTATCTCTCTGTCCACCTTTCCCTCTTCTCCATTTAGAGGATAAAAGAAAATGTCAGAGACTAACAGAAACTCTGAGAGGTTAAATAAAATTAAAAAATATAGACAGGAA